AAAGCAGCAGAGGATCGCACATATGGGAATATGGCTAATATTCAGGTCCCAAACAATATTATGGAACCAAATGATGCATGTCAAAACCACAAGCCTAAATTCTACTAACAAGGCTGGGTTTATACCAATCATTGCGAGCGTCGTCTCAATTACATATGAGAAACCAGCAACAGCATAGAAGAAAAGAATTCATCGGTAACTTGACTAGTAGTACTACGCTGATCTAAGTCAGAATGGACAAGCACAGAAAGATAAAATGCGAAGACAAACGAAAGATTCACTGGTGATGAGGCAGGAATGCGAAAACTCGGACTCGGCGGCTGTGCAACATGTAGTACAGGAACAACAACGAATATTATGGGACCATATGAAAAGGGCATTCTGAGACTTTCTAACCATTCTAAACAGGGAGATAAAAAACTATTGGTAATACAAACAAGCCAATGCATGAATAAACACGTTGGTATAGAATTAAGTTAATACCGGAACTAAGTTATTAAGCAATTTCCACTATCGAGGCTGAACCTTCCATAGTGACTTCTGTATGAATTGACTGTCACTAACTGCTCATAACTGTACGTACTACTAAACTACTTGACTTTCAAAAACTGAATAGGCAAAACAGCATTTAAATTTGTGCAATAAAAAAGTAAAGTAGACATGGCGAAATCTTGTTGAAGATGAGTTGCAATGATTCGATAGATAAGGACAAACAAGAGACCGCGCAATGATGACATACGATGTAAACACAACGCACCTTCAATGTCCTGTAGTAAGGATCGAGCATGAGCTTGGCGAGGCAGACAATCTGCGTCGTGCGGTCCCAACCGTCAGAGCAATGCACGAGCACCGAACGCCGTTCGAGGTGCAACGCTTCAACGACGCGGTGCGACGCATTCAACAGCGCATATACGTGGCTGATCCACTGGCAGTTTTCGAGGTTTTGGAACCATGACGCCTCAGTCTCCTCCCAACACATGCTGCGTAGCTTCTGGAAGCTGTACCGGATGCTGTGGATGTTAGGCAAGCCAAGGAACTCCACTTCGCAGTCGTTGTAATTCTCTGAGCAAACAAGTTGAAGATCAACATCACTGACTTTTCAAATAATAAACAATTAAGCGAATTACCTGAACTTTCAAAACCTCCGCCCTTAGCGCGGTTCGCCCACGCTGCTGTATACGACCTCGCATCAAGAATTAGCATAGGCTTTTCTAAAAGAACGAATCTGACAACATTCAGCGCAGTAATACATCAACTAATTAAAAACAATAACCGATTAATTGAATGACAAAGAAATGACGCCAAACGTATTGGCTGAGATGTGCCACCAACATACAATCTAGCACACCTACGAACAACTAAGTTGAAGATTCTGTGGCAAC